TAGATACAGTACACTGTGCAAATGAATAACAGAGCAATATTCTGTGAGTATGTGCAGATTGTACAAATTAACAGATCATTTCAGTATTACAGGTAACAGAAGTGTATTGCATTAGTCCCGGGAAGAGAGATGAGAAGCGGTGAGGTGTGTGTGTAGTTGTATAGAAGAAGGCAGTGGGGTCACAGGGGGGACAGAGTTCATTATGGAGACAGCTGTGGGGAAGAAGCTGTTCCTAAGTCTACTGGTCTTGGTCCAGAGGCTCCTGAAGCTCCTCCCAGAGAGCAGGAGGTCAAACAGTTTGTGAGCACAGTGGGAGGAGTCCTTGAGAATGATACGAGCACGTTGAAGACAGTATTCCCTTTGGACACCCTCAATCGCTGGAAGTTGAGTCACAGTGATGCGTTGGGCAGTTTTCACCACCCTCTGCAATGCCTTGCGGTCATAGACAGAGTAGTTTCCATAGCAGATTGTGATACAGCTGGTCAGGATGCTCTTGATGGCACAACAGTAGAGGTTCACCAGGATGGCCGAAGACAGGTGGGTCGTCTTCAGTGTCCTCAGGAAGAAGAGGCGCTGGTGAGCCTTCTTAACCAGGCTGCAGATGTTGGTGGTCCAGGACAGTTCCTATGAGATGTGGGTCCCCAGGAATTTGAAGCTGGAGACACGTTCAGCAACCATCCTGCTAATATGGGTGGGATTTTTTGTGCCTCCTTTCTCCCTCTTGTAGTCCACAATGAACTCCTTGGTCTTGTTAGTGTTAAGGACCAGGTTATTGTCAGTGCACTATACAGCCAGGTGCTGTACCTCCTCCCTGCAAACTGACTCATTGTTGTCGCTGATGAGGCCGATCACCGTAATGTCATCTGCAAACTTGATGGTGTTGGAATCATGCACACCCTTACTCCACACGTCAATATCAAAGATTTGGGAAGCAAAAAGCCATGCACTGCAAACATTGGGAGTAAAGCTGTTCATAAAACTGTGGATATCAGGTCCAAGATGGAAACTTTTTTTTTGAGTGGGGATGGTGTTCAAACAGAAGTTTGTGTACTCTGTTATGCAGTTTGTCATCTCCATGGGGTTCACAGAGTACATTTCAGTCTGTGGTGTCAAAACACCCCTGCAGACTTGTCATTAGCTTCCTGTGACTGACCACCTTGTTACAGTTCCTGTGGTCACAGGCTGCTGCTGGATGACAAGTGTATAGGGGGGTGTGTGAGGTACCACATTGCGGTCTGAGCTGCCATTGCATATTTGATGTTTGCGTACAATAAATCCAAAGTTTTATTTACCTTGGTGGGAGTTCATTTGCCCATCTTACATGCTTGATGTTAGGCTAATTATTATTATGCATTTCAAATGACCATGTTGTAGGAAAAAGATGCATCAGAAATGTTGAACGTCAAATCTAGTAGCAAAATAACCCTTGACCACATCTGGCACTGGAGCAACTAACTGCTAAGTAGTCATCAGTGTGCGTGTGCATTGCAGGGATGAGAAGGGATTCATTGTTTAGGACAGAGATGACATTTTAAACACAGCCTTGGTGAACACGTATGTGTAATTAACTTTGAATTGCGACATACAGCTGTTGCTACGACAGAATACATCAGGAAGGTTATTAACATTTGTGCAATTGTTGACTTGGTTTTTGGTGCTGAAAAATATGTTGAAGCTTTGCTTCGGAAGATGTTTGTTAGAACTCATCTAGTTTATCATTGGAATTCCATCTCAGTTCAGTGGCAAATCAGACTGGGACTGTACTCGCTTGCTGTGGATTTATTCATTTATTTTTTTCACCCCATGAGAGAGTCGGCCTTCCCAGTGGACCAGAGCATGCATAACACCTTCTCAGACTTTCTGTAGTCACACACATGAAACACAGAATAGGAGATAAACCACAGCAGATGAGCTGTGTCACATTTGGTGATGTAGCTGTGTGAATAAGAGATGCTTTTTTCATTGCAACAAATTTACTGCAGGCGGTTTTGTAGGCGTTTGTGTAACACGCCTCTAAAAACTGTCAAGTGAAGAGACGCTGTCATCTTTTGTGACTACAAAGCAAGTCAGTATGTTGGATGACTACAGCCAGGGTCTGGCAGAGATATAAGTTTGTTAATGATAGCCTTGGAACTGCCTCCAGCAAATCAGTTTAATCAGTCATGTGCTGAAGACTGCTCTGGTTTCATGTGTATCACAGAGCACTTGTCTGTCACAGCTGACTGCAAATCCATCGTGTCTTTATCAATATTAGGAGCCAAAGTCTGCATACAGGTCAACATAATGGCAAGATTTGGATATCTCCTTTTAGCCCAGAAGAGTGAGTTAGCTGTTTTGTGCCTGTACATTAGTGAATATGACATGCAATTAATGCTGACAGGGATTTTCAATAAGAAGTCTCATAATGTGCATATATTCACAAGTACCATATGGTGTGCTGCTTACATCTAGTACTCATTAGGGGTTTAATGGTGCTGAGATTGAGACTGAAACTGTGATACAAATGTCCACTGACTTGTTTCAGTGGTGGATAATGCTACCCCTTACTGTATACTACTCCTTCAGTATTTATTAAGAACAGAACTTGTCTGACCACACACAGTATAGTAATTCACTTTTACGAGCAAAGAACTCAAACCTTAGTGTGGTTTGGTTTCAGATACTTTGCTAAGTGCTAAGTATTTCAGATGTCTATTTGTGTGTAGCCACAACTTGGATTTAGTGTTAACACTAAAGTTTGTACCTTTAGTAAATCCATGATGTCCAGAAAATGTCTGAAACAGGAAAGAAAATGCTGAATTATGAATCCTTTGAGGGTTTGTGTTTGGCAGGCCACCTACCTGTGGTGATTATAAAATTCAAACAGTTTGGAGCTACTACGTCGAAATCCTTGTCAAATTCTAGTAGAGTGATAAATCAGTTGTATATGCGAGTGCATATCTGCATGTGTGTGTGTGCCCTGTCTGCTGCTGTTACAGGGAAAGTTTTTGGTCAGGTCTAGACTAGGTCTGTAATGCAGTACATAACAGCATATCAGCTGAGAGCAGATCCTGGGTTCATTTATAGCTGTGGCCTTGTGTCCCTGCACGTCTGCCTGGCAACTCCTAACTCTGCTGTTCCAGCTACTCAAGCTCACCCACCTCTCAGACACTTCAGCCCCATTATGCTTTCACCATTGTCTAATTACTAGGTGTACACAGTAGTATGGGGAATTTAACTGTAGAACAGTATTTAAGTAGTTTGAACCTCAGTGTTAAATGTACAGTTGAAGTCAGAGGTTTACATATACCAAATATATTTATACTCAGTTTTTCACAGCCCCTGACATTTAATCCTATAAACATTCCCTGTCTTAGGTCAGTTAGGAGCATTGCTTTAAGAATGTCAAATTTCAGAATAATAGTAGAGAAAAAGATTTATTTCAGCTTTTGTTTCTTCCACCACATTCCCAGTGGGTCAGAAGTTTACATACACTCAGTTAGTATTTGGTAGCATTGCCTTTAAATTGTGTAACTTGGCTCAAATGTTTTAGGATGCTTTCCACAAGCTTCTTAAAATAAGTTGCTAGAGTTTCAGCCCATTCCTCCTGACAGAACTGGTGGAGCTGAGTCAGGTTTGAAGGCCTCCTTGTTCCCACCCACTTTTTCAGTTTTGCCCAGAAATTTTCTATTGGATTGAAGTCAGGGCTTTCTGATGGCCACTCCCATACCTTGACTTTGTTGTCCTTAAGCCATTTTGCCACAACTTTGGAAGTCTGCTTGGGGTCACTGTGTTTGTACAAGACCCATTTGTGACTGAGTTTTAATTTCCTGGCTGATATCTTGAGATGTTTCTTCAGTATATCCACATAATCTTCCTTCCTCATGATGCTATCTGTATTTTGTGAAGTGCCCCAGTCCCTCCTGCAGCAAAGCAAACAACAATCATGCTGCCACCCCTGTGCTTCACGTTTGGGATGGTGTTCTTTGGCTTGCAAGCCTTCCCCCTATTCTTCCAGACATAACGATGGTCATTATAGCCAAACAGTTCAGTTTTTGTTTAATCAGACCAGGGGACATTTCTCCACAAAGTAAGATATTTGTCCCCATGTGCAGCTGTAAACCGTAGTCTACCTTTTCTGTGGTGGTCTTGGAGCAGTGGCTTCTTCCTTGCTGAGCAGCCTTTCAGGTTGTGTTGATACAGGACTTGTTTTACTGTGGATACAGATACTTTGGTACCCGTTTCCTCCAGTGTCTCCATAAGGTTCTTTGCTGTTGTTCTGGGGCTGATTTGTACTGTTTGGACCAAAGTACATTCATCTTTAGGAGACAGAATTTGTCTCCTTCCTGACTGATATGATGGCTGTGTTGTCCTATGGTGTTTATACTTGTGTGGTATTGTTTGTGCAGGTGAATGTGGCACCTTCGTTTGGAAATTGCTCCCAAGGATAAACCACGCTTGTGGAGGTCCACAGTTTTTTTTTCCCCCTGAAGTCTTGGCTGATTTCTTTTGATTCTCCCATAACATAAAACAAAGAGATACTGGGTTTGAAGGCAGGCCTTAAAATACATCCACAGGTGGACCTCCTGTTGACTCAAATAATCAGTTAGCCAATCAGAAGCTTCTAAAGCCATGACATAATTTTCTGGAATTTTCTAAGATGTTTAAAGGCACAGTCAACTGAGTGTAAACTTCTGACCCACTGGAAATTTGATACAGTGAATTGTAAGTGAAATCATCTATCTGGAAAAATGACTTGTCATGCATAAAGTACATGTCCTAACTGACTTGACATCTGTGGAGTGATTAAAAAAATTTAAGTTTTAATCAGTTCGAATGTATGTTAAACATCTGACTTCAACTCTAGGTCCTGTTGACAGGCTTCTGTACCTGGGACTTAATAGATCTCATCTCCTATTACCCTCAGGTCCCAGGGGCTCCTATTGATGAAGAAAGTGGGCAACATGTGGAGCAGCT